GTGTTGATGAAAGTACATTACACGTTATTGATACAACTATTGGCACAAATGAATGTACATTTTCTCTTAATGAACAGCAAAAGGTGTAATAAATTTAACTTTCAACTCATTTAAGTCTCACCCCTCCTCCCAGCCTTATGCTTTTGCAAGGAGAATTCGAGAACAGCTGATTTGTGTACCATTGAGAAAAATGGTCCCGAGGGCACTCTTTTGTTCGTTACTCGAGCAAAACTTCGACGGTGCGGTGTTTGGGACGATGATTACTTTATTTCCTGTTTAATGTCCCGTTACTTGGTAACGTGGACCCCAGCCAAGCTGCACTATAGCTGGTGATAGAAATGCCACTTGGATTATTACGCGAACATGTTGGTCTGTCAACAAACACCTTGAGGAATTTTAGGCTAGTTAGGAAACCTAGTGAAAACACGGCCGTAGACTACCACATGTTGACGTGATTGGAGCATGACCGAAGCCAAACAACCTTGTTCTAAAACGACAATCAACCATTAGAAACACTCAGAAAGTGAACCCAATACAAGCTCTACGTAAGGTCACTTCCTAATCGGCTCAGAAACGTTGTGACTGAACTAGAGTAGCTCGTACCGATTGACTAAGAAAGTCGGTGTGAGTAGCCCTTAGGTACGGTGGCCATGTATGAAAGTCATGTAAGCCACCATTTCCATCTATAAGAACTGAACATTAAATACTAAGTCCAATTAAAAAGTATCTGATGATTTTGCTTGCAGTATTTGGAGTATTTGGAGTAGGTCAGTGTGTGTGAAGGAAAGCCATCTGTCAGCATTATCATCGTAGGATCAAAACGAAGCCAGATGAACGATTCCGTACGTGCCCATCATATCACATCATAGCCCCTGTTCGAACATCAATCATTCCTGAGGCATATTGATGGTTTTCACGTCGGTCATGTTAGAGGACTTTAACAAAAGAATTGTCAATGAATTCTTTTTGTTATATTCTCCAACATCATGGCCGCCGTGTCTTTTGTTATTTAGTTCTCTTGGTGAATGGTTGAAAACCATCAATTGATCAAAAGTGCGCCACTCTGCTAAAATGATCAGGCTCCTAGGCCTCCAGGCAACACGTGATTCTCCTAAAAACACCTCTTGTAAGATAGATTAGGTTCGTAATCCGTCTTGCGGCTTGTAAAACTAGTTTTCCACTGGATAATTAACAGACAGTCTTTAATGAGGAATTAAAACTCGCTTTCCAGGTATAGCCATGCAGACAACATGCAGGCCACTTGTTGACGGCGCAAGCACGCGAACTCATACCTTGCACAAGTTTGTACAAAAAATATTCCGACGCAATAAAAAAATCCAATGAGAATTATCGCATTTTAGAATAGGAATTTTTTTGAAGTGCGCATTTTTAAAAACATTTCTGCGAAAAAGCATTACTTTTAGGACGTTGCGAAAGAGGTAAAACTGCCTTTCTTTTATGGGCCTTTCGTAACGCCGTTGCGTTGCCGTTGCAGAGAGGATTTTTGTCGTATACTCATTTTCTGCTCCTTTTGTTTTTTTTGTTTGTTTTGTTTTTTGCTTGAGAAATTAGGATTATACAAGAGTGAAATATAGATAGGTACAAGGACTATATAAAATAGTATTTATTATTTTGATGTTTAGTTCAATATAGAAATATATGCAATAAATCATTACTTGTCTTATACTTTTCATATACGTACTCTTGGATTTTCTTGCTTTCAATTCAAGTGACGTCAGAAAAAAATGTAGCTAATCACGTTCACAAATGGGTCAAGGCTTTCTGCGCATGCACATATGAGTTAATATCTTTTATTTCTTTTATTTTCACGCCTCAGCATCTAAGAAAAATGGAAACCTGTTTTGGTTAAAATAGTTTTAAAGGGGTGGGATGGGTGGATCCGAGTGAGGAGGATGGGTGGCT